TGGGCAGGAACGGCGTCGAGCCCCCCCCCCCCCCTGTGGCGTACTGCAACGGCAGGAGGAGCTGTTCGGTGAGGGGGCGACGGGGCCGCTGTGCGTGCAGCGCGCGGCGCAGTAGCGGTGGTAGGCGGCTCCCACTGGCTCTTGTCCTCTGCTTGTCCCCCTGGCTGCAGGCGGGGGGTGGGCGGTTGCGTTCTGGGGCAAGCCCAGGGGTGTCTTGGCGAAGGGGGAGTCCCGTTGGGGGCGGCTGTGCGTTGACGCGGGTCAAGTGCCGTTGCGTGCCGCACCGATCTGTTTTTCTGTTTCCTGGTCGCTCCTTGTTGCTGGCTACGTTCGCTTTCTGTCTCCTTCCTTCCTCGCAACACATGTTGCTTGTGTCTCTAGGGCAGCTTTGCAGCAGTGGTGTTACTTCCGGCGAGTCACGAGTCGACAATAACCGCAGGCGAAGGGTTACGGCGATGGACTACCGCATCAACGAGCTCGGCCGTTTTCGGGTCCTCCTCGGCGGCCTGTCCGCCTCGCTCTGCATTTCCGTGCTTTACGGCTTCAACCTTCTCAGCAACTACCTTCAGAAGGAGTACGACCTTAATGCGAGCGACTTGACCACAATCACAACCACGGGCATCGTCGTTGGGTTCGTGACCTTCCCCGGGGGCATGTTGCTCGACTACGTGGGCCCGATGTGGGTGCTCATCATCGCCACCACTTCGTGCGCACTGGGCGCTTTCCTCTTTGGGCTGGCGTTCCAGGGCCTCATTGCCGCCTCTGTCTTGCGCTTTTCCGTCTTCTGTGCCTTTTTGGACTTCGGCTGCTTATGGTTCGACACCGGCTCGCTGATGGCGGTGCTCGGGAGCTTTCCGCGCACGCGGGGCCCGGTGGTGGCTTTGATGAAGACGTACGCCGGCATCGGCGCCTCCGTGCTCGCTGTGATCAACTACAGCTTTTTTCGCGAGAGCTACGCGGCCTACATGTACTTCGTGGCGATTGCCATAGTGGTGCTTGGAGGCATCGCGATCGTTCTTGTTCGATTTCCGCCCTACCATCTTGTTGACCGCGAGAAGAAGACCTTGCCGCTGGAGATCCAGGAGCGACGACGGCTTATCGAGCCCTACTACCTGCGGCAACTGCCACCAATGCGCCGGTTTGTCATTGGCTGCCTCATCGTTGTTGCTCTGATCGTGTACCTGACGACGCAGTCGCTGTGCGGGGCCTACGTGGACGGGATATCCGACAACACCCGCATGGGCATCACCATCGGGGCGATTGCGCTTGTGCTCCTGCTGGCGGTGGTTGCGGCGCCCCTTCCGTTTCTTGGCGGCATGTCCCAACCGCCGAACGAGTTCCTCCCGCCGTTGCCGGGTAATTCCATGGAGATGGGGGAGCGGGTGCTGGCGTCGCAGGGGGGCGACTGGGCTGAGGAAGAGGAGGTCGTTGAGAGCGACCTTGACCCGCAGTACCAGGGCACCTTCTGGGAGGACTTGAGGACACCGGACTTGTGGATGCTGTTCTGGACCACGATGGTAACGTGGAGTTGCGGGTTTGTCCTCACCTTCAACAGTGCCCAGATATATCGTGCATTGAACGACAACGTGTACGATGCTGCCACAAATACGATGTACTCGGCCATTGTTGGTGTTGGGAACGGCGCGAGTCGCCTGGCGCTGGGAGTCCTGGAGGTCATGATCCTCCGACGGGCGCCAGAGAGGCGTCCCACAATCACCTGCCTCTTTCCGATTGCGTCGTGCAGTTTGTTCCTGAGCGTGCTGCTATTGCTGGTTCTGCCTCTGTGCTCCAAGGCCATTATCCTTGGCTTCTTCTTTGGCGGGTTTGGCAACGGCGCGGCCTGGGCGAGCACGGCCCTGGTGGTGCGCTCCATCTACGCGAAGGACATCGGCAAACACTACAACTTCATGTCCTTTGGGACGCTTGTCGGCATTATCGCGTTTAATCGTTTTGCGTACGGAGAGCAGTACACGCGGGCGGCGAGGCAGGGCCACTCCTACCCCCAGTGCGGCGGAAAGGCGTGCGTCCAGAGTGGATTCATCATACTACTGTGTGCATGTGCAACCGCCATTGTTACGAGCACGCTTGTGCACATCCGCTACACCCGCTTCGTGAAGAAAGCCCGCACTGCTCTGGAGGCGGGCAAAAACGAGCCCAATGCCTCTAATACTGAGGACTGCGCCGAGGGAGCCTGTGCCCCCGCGGACGAATGAAGAGGCCACGACGCTTTGCGGACGTCGACTGCCACATAATTATTTAACTAACATCCCCCGCATTTTCCAAAACGACTGTTTCTTTTACCCTGTTCGTCTATTTTTTTTTGTTTTAATGGCTTTACGAGAGCCGTGAAACTAATTGTTTGAAACGAGGTGCATCCGGGAAAATCGCCCGGTTATTAATCTCGTCCTTTCAACTTGTCCTTGTGAATGCATGGAGGTATCTACGCGTATATGTCCATGTGTTTGTAAGATGGAGTTTTGTTGTTATTGGTTGTTGTTGAAGCTCCCCCCCCCCCCTCAACTTTTAATTCGTGCTAAAGACGTTGTGGGCGCCTCTTTTTCGCCAGTAATTTACTGCTTATGACTGATTGGGAGCCGCCCTGGCCTCGGTGGCAGTGACAGGAGAGAACGAATTGTGCGGCTTACGGGGGCATGGAAGGCACCCTGCGCAACCTCCTTTCCACTTGTTTCATTATCTCTTAGGGACAAGTAAGGCGTATACAGTTTTGTTTCTTTTTGTTCCCAAGGGGCGCGGTTGCTGGAATGGCGAGACGCACTTATCCCCTTGCCAATCGTTCCGAAGGGCCTTGTTTCTCCCTGCCGGTGGCCCTGTCGTGCCCTTCACCGATGCCCGGACGCTTGCTGTGTTTTCCGTAGTGCTGCATCCACGACTCCTGCTCTCTCCCTCTTTCTTGCGCGCAATGCCGGTGCGTTGTTGCTCGATTTCCTGCTCTGCCTTGCCTGCGTCTCTCGCCTCCGCGCCGCCCCGCGTCCTTTTGGCTTGTGGTAGCGGAGGTGTGCCGGTCGTGGGGAGGCGTACTCGCTGTAGTCGTCTTCACGTGGTGTGTGGGTGGCACCACGCTTCTGCCCCTGCCCTGTGCCCACTCCTGCGCGGGACGGTCGCAACTACGCCCCACATGCCATCAAGGCCATTGGCGTGGTGCGCCCCGCTGTGTGGTGCCTGCCGCTGCTCCCCGCCGGCGCCGCCTTCTCGCCCCCCTCCCCCCTCCACTGAACGTTCCCGCTCGGTTCTTTTTTAACGCCGCTGTTGCGCCCCGGCGTGGCGCTTCTCTTCGTGCGCCTGGCGGGGCGGGGCCATGCGGTGGGGGTGGGCAGGAACGGCGTGACGCCCCCCCCCCCCCCTGTGGCGTACTGCAACGGCAGGAGGAGCTGTTCGGTGAGGGGGCGACGGGGCCGCTGTGCGTGCAGCGCGCGGCGCAGTAGCGGTGGTAGGCGGCTCCCACTGGCTCTTGTCCTCTGCTTGTCCCCCTGGCTGCAGGCGGGGGGTGGGCGGTTGCGTTCTGGGGCAAGCCCAGGGGTGTCTTGGCGAAGGGGGAGTCCCGTTGGGGGCGGCTGTGCGTTGACGCGGGTCAAGTGCCGTTGCGTGCCGCACCGATCTGTTTTTCTGTTTTCCTGGTCGCTCCTTGTTGCTGGCTACGTTCGCTTTCTGTCTCCTTCCTTCCTCGCAACACATGTTGCTTGTGTCTCTAGGGCAGCTTTGCAGCAGTGGTGTTACTTCCGGCGAGTCACGAGTCGACAATAACCGCAGGCGAAGGGTTACGGCGATGGACTACCGCATCAACGAGCTCGGCCGTTTTCGGGTCCTCCTCGGCGGCCTGTCCGCCTCGCTCTGCATTT